TAACATTCATGAGGTACTTTACATTGACTGTTTATGGTTGAGTGTGGGCGTGTAGAGGGCAGAACCTGAGGAGGGACCTCGTGCGCAAACTCTGACGTGCGGCTGTGATTTATRAAGGAAAGATGCGCAGAAACGTGCGTACGCATGGTTTTATAAATCTGATTTTTTTTGGCATACGCCATTTCCGCCTTTTAGCCGTACGTTCACTTTTAGTATGGTTTCCACGTAATCCTTTATAAATGAGACCCCAGAAATGTCTCAGAAATCAATCACTGCAGTCACATTAGCAATATATCTTGTGGTTCAGAAGTTATCAACACATAAAGCTGGAAATGTTGCCTGTTTTCTCATTGAACACATAAAATAACAGGAGAAGACATCATTTCAGACTGTTTTGCACTGATATGTTCAGCAGCTGAACAATGGTCCACGTATATCAGTACTTGACGTTATGTTAAAGATTTGACAAACAGACCTCTGATGGAATTTTAAGTCGTGATGGGACCAGCTTCCTTGTCAGCAACTTTTAAATGCCCGACTCCAGTGTTAATTAGACATCTTGTAATTAATTAACTTTGATTTTCTGCTCTTAATCATGTGTTTTTAAAACAGTTATTTGAGGCAATAAGCAAAGATTTTTAAGTGTAAAAAGTTATGATTTACGACTGAACTGATGTATAAACAATGTCAAACTTGAACAAATTTTTAACAAAAAATGCAAAAATTAAATTTTGAAAAAAGGTGTAACTTTTAGAAGAAAAAAATATTGAGCGATCCTAAAAATACTGAAATTAACACCATGTCTGCAAAAAATAAGTAAGAAAAAGTTTGATAAACTGTGATGCAAAATAGTAAAAACTGGATGTTCTGAGTCTGTTTCTCCTCCTTCTGGTGTCTCAGTCAGCTCCTTCTGCTCTGAACCACAATCTATTCCTCCTGATCCTCTGCTTATTTCTTTGGTTTTAAATGACTTCAACTCTGAGATGCTTCAACATATTTCTGTTTTCATGACATTTAAACATTAAATCAGTGTTTTGTTTTTCAAAATTCACATTTAAAATGTTCTAATCTTTGGGATATTGGCAGTGGAGCCTCTAAAGCTTGAATTTAAAGATTCCTTGTTGTTGCATGTCTCAGTGGACTTGACCTGGTTTGGGTTTTGGGAATGTGGTTCCAGTTCAGTTCCAGGTAAAGACCGACTGGTGGACAGTGCCTCTCCGGTCTATCAGGCCGTTCAGAGTGCAGAAAAGGACCAGGACCTGAATGAATGGGGCCGGCGTAGCACCAGCACACAGTCCAAGTCCTTCCAGATCCTGGCCCACATGACTCAGACCGAGTCCTGTAAGTTCCCTTTGTTCTGTGGGATTTTATGACAATAATAATAATAAGAATTCAGGTATACATGTCGGGGAAAATGAACAATTATAAAGATGTTGCCTTTTTGCAGCAGCATAAGTATCAAAATTAAAATCTTTCTCATACAGTGGGTAAAATAAGTATTGAACACATCACCATTTTTCTCAGTAAATATATTACTAGAGGTGCTAATGACATGAAATTTTCACCAGATGTCGGTAACAACCCAAGTGATCCATACATACAAAGAAATCAAACCACAAATGTCCAGAAATGAAGTTATTTGTAATAATGTGGAATCATTTGGGACTGAACCAGCTGATATTAACTTGCAC